TTAATGCTTGTAACATAACAAATATTCTTCTCATATCATTGCAATCTCAATGCTGCGCTCAATTGAATATTTCGATGCCAATGCCGCAGCCTGCAGATTTGCTTTCATTTCCACTTAGTTACTGCCACATGTCTTCCGTTTACGTCTAAGTATCTTCAGCTCAACAAGCGTAATGCTTCGATTCGTACGTACAGTTTATATCTTGCATTTCACTTTGTGCCGTCAAATTCAATTGCAATATGAAAATTTACCATTAAGTTTTAAAAAATTAATTAAGAGTCACGTAGCTGCTGTTGGATGTTATTTTTTTGTCTGACGTTGCACGCACTGGTTTCGTTTTTGTGTTGCTTTTTTTCGCAATCGCAATACATTTAAATATATCAATACGCTTTAGTTTTCGTTTTTCTTTTTATATACAATACACATAAGAGATTTGTAGTAAAATTTGGTGAGAAAAATCTTGCATTACGTAAACATCGCCGTTTAGCTTTACTTTTTTCATTTAGAGCATAAAATGATTATTTTGTCGTATTACCATTAGTTGTACAATTAGAGAGCACAAAAGTTTCAAAGTGTTCTTGCTTGGTGTATACTAAAAGTTTGATTTTAGAAATGTTTGATTGTTTCGCGTGTGTCTATTCGCAGTTGGGTTAGTTAAGCAGTTAAGAGTCAAGGGCAGAATGCAAGGCTTTCTCACTTGCAACGATTCACAGAAGCTGATGCCTGAAAGTGAGCGGTGACTGACATTATTTTTTATTAAAAATTTCTCCTGAAGAGTGGGTACCAATAAAACAAATTCGCAGCTGGCCATTAGCCAGGCTCCCTTTTTACTTTAGTCATACCATTGTTAGGTTTTAATTGTTAATATTTAAAACTTGGACCCTATTTAAATTTTGCAATAATGCCTGACCTACGAAAAACCGCACCATATATTCACAAGTGTTAGACAGACCAAGGAAATCAAACCTTTAATAAAAGCAAGCTTTAAAAGAAAGTGGCAATGGGTAAGACAATCCAATTAGTATCATTTTTGTTTAATGTGTATTCGTATTAAATTCACTGCTGCAAGTTGTTTCTGTTAGTTATGTTTTAACCATTAATCGTTTTTACTAAAAAGTAGGAACTTCTGCCTGTTGTCAATTACTGCTGCAATTATGCTGTTGTGTGTCTCAAAAACGCAATTCAAATGCTGTGAAAAACAATTTGGTTTAAAAGCATCATGTAAAACACATTCAGATTTAGCTAACTATAAGTAAGGTAATGTATTGTATATCAGTTTTTTAAGTTTGTCTAATTGTACAAACCAAATAAACAAAACCATAAACGTAACAACGTTTTTTGATTTGCGCCTTTGACTTCGCTAAAAACCACGTATAAATTCCGCTCCCTAAGATACTTTTTACTGAAGCTGAGCGAGAAAACATAAAAACTCCGTTTCAAAAAACATTTAACACAAACTGGTAAACTGTACAAATTAGTATATGCATCTCAACTTGAATATGTCTTATCGCCTGTCTCTTCCAAAACTCTGAACAAATTACCTATGCTTCCATCTATGACTTCCGCGGTTCTTTACTTCTTAAATACGCTATTTTTTAGACTTTTGCCGAACTAACAATTTGTAGCATGCGCTGCACTAAATGTATGCGTGATATTCCCTTCCTGTTGGGATCACTTCCCCACTTTCTTTCGTTTTACTCTAACAACCCTGGTGTGTGTTTGGACTATTCGAAACAGAAGCGGTCTCGAACGAGGCGGAACTCAAGAATCGGGTAATCGGGTGACCTGGAGAACAAAGTTGGGGATCTAAATAAACTACTCATGTGTCAAACAATGCTGATATGTTTCTGTTCATGTCGTATATGTTGCGCTTGTGGTTCCGTAACTCAAAACTGATTTTGTCTTCCTTCTCTACTTTGATTTGATTGTAGTTCGTGTTTAGTTTTAACTCTGTGACTGCATTCCATGTTGACTCAATCGCTATTTCTATAATATTTAGCTGCGTTCTCGTCGACACATTAATGTATAGTTATAGCTACAATTACATATAGTACATACACATATATATCTGGTTTCTGGTTTCTTCTAACTGTAAAAGTAGCACATAGGTAAGCCTGCGTGGGTAATGCCGCCTCATGGCCTCGCCGACACATGGCTCACAACATTCGATCATGTGCTTCTCTTGTATATATGTAATTCACGATTAGTCTTCGATTTATGTTTCACTTAGCGTTTTGGTAAAATCTCTTCTCGCAACTAGTAATGTACAACTTAAAACTGTTGGCTTCTGTTAGACTCCATCACTATGTTATGCACTTCTGTTTTCTTGATTACTTTGCCCTGCGTTTCAGCCGAACAAGATCACTTTGAGTTCGACAGTTTGACTTGGACCAATGCGACGCATGGGATGCTCCTTTGATTCCTCCTCCTTTTAGCAGGCTCTCGATTTCGGGATTTCAATTAAATTGTAAATTAATCGTTAGTTCTTTCTCTACTTGGTAAAGTAATACTTTTTAGTGTACTGTTTGTCAATTAGCTGCATTGTCTACTCTGCGCATCTGACTCCTCGCCATTGCCGTTCGTTACTGTACTATTACTGTTATCTGAATTTAATGTATATTCGTAATAGGTATCTGTATTTGAATTCGGTATTAGTTCTATTAATTCGTATGCTGCTCGGTGTCGTGTTCACTCTATCAACATTTACACGCAGTAGCGCCATTGTATCTATATTATCGTTGGGCTAAATATTTGATTACTCCTTGAACGCTGCATACCAACGATCAGATCCCCGTTCTTAACCTTTGCTGATTGTTTAGATTATGTTGATGGTGTGAGGGTGTGCAATCGCTTTTGTTTTACATAGTCTGGGTTGCTTCTGTTGTATGCAGTTGTAGAGTTAAGTTCGCTAAATACTTTTATGAAATTTTGATTTGTCAAGAGTTCTCGTTTGAAATTCTAGCAGTCGTGGGTCTGATATAGACGTATATCATATCGCTTTACTTTGCTTCGATGCGCTAACAAAACGTGTATATAGTGTATATATAAGTAGTAGACATAGACATAGAGCATATGTAAGTATGATAAATAGGTATAAGGTTAAGGTTAGTTAGATAGCTAGTTGCAGTATGTATATGAAACGCTAGAGTTGGCTCAAAAACGTTTGGTAAGCTTTCTGTGTTACATGGAAAATGTAGGTAGGCCTTGTCAACTATTTCTCGCGAGCGCATTTGAACACGGCGTGTTCAGGCGTTTTACTCTTGCCCGTTCGACCATATTTCTGTACTGCCTGCGCGATTGTTTGATAACTGTAAATATAGTACTTCAATAAATTTTACATTTTACAATATTTTACTGTTGCTTTTCGTACACGTTTTTCGTTTAAATATATTAAATTTTTATCATTCTTGTGAATTTTGTATTGTGATTTACTTGTTTCCTTTGTGTTGGTTTTAATTTTAAATTACGATCACTGCTACTCATGCTTACGAACTAAATCCATATCATGTAAGTTACAATTAGTTGATTTTTTAACCATTTTGTGTTTTTTTGCATTTTATTAGTTTTTTAGTTTCTCTTTTTGTTTGTTCTTTGCTCCAACGTATAAATAATTTCACTTTCTAAATATATATAAACTTTCATATTTGTCTGTATTTGTTCGCTTCTGTGTGAGTGACCGTGTGTGTGTGTGTCGCGTGTGTGTGGTTGTGTAGTGTCCGTTGTGGGGTCCTTGTAAAATTATCAAAAAATCATTCAGTTTTGTTGCTAAAACACGTATATGTCTTTCGTTACCAGTATGTCTATGATTAAATATAATTACCTTCTGTTTTGATTTCTTTTTTAAGATTATACTTTTGTAGCTTAAAATTTGTTTAATTTCCTGTTTCATGGTTTGTTGTAGTTCAATACATACTTATTCATATGTATATTTGATCGTTTGTGTATAATTTGCGCTAGCTTAACAACATTTACATATACATACACACACAAAGGGTTTACGTACGCGTTGATTTAACTGCCTTTAAAATTATTATTCTCCTGTAGTTCTAAACAAACGGACACGGACGTGCCAAGGATATATCTCCATCTCCGCAGTATCCAAGTTCTTGATTTATTTAGTTTTATTAAGTTTAATACAATCTTCTTAAATTCCATTTAACGTTATTTCACATCGCCTCGCTTCACTTCACTTCAATGTGCTTAGGACTCGGTGTGCTATTCGGGACCCTCTTTCTCTGAATACTTCCTCACTTTTTAAGTCTAGCAAAATGAAAACATTTACGAGCTACGTGTATGCGATTGCTTCAACAGAAGTTGCACACTTGTAAAAAATTAAAGTTAAGTTGCATTCATTTAAAATATAATAACAGCATCATGTACATAATAAAACTTTGCCTTAATTCATTTTTAACATAATTTTTCTCTTCAGGTTCTTCTTGACTTTCTGTCGTTTTTTAAAACCAAAACACAGTACAGTGCACTAAAAATATTTCTAAGTTACAATCTTCTTTTAATTTTAAACATACTTTTCTCTTGTCTACTCTTTATTTTTTTGTTTTTCCTTTTGTTTTCTTTTGTTTTTGTTATGCAATGCAATTTTCTTAAGAACTATAGTTTTAAAGTTAAGCTTAAGTTACGATGTTGCTGATTGTTTAGTGGGTTGTTTTGTTTGTTTGTGGTTTGCTTGTTTTTTTGTCTGCGTGCGCCATAAGTTGAAATGCTATTTTCGAGTTAATTTCAAGTTATATTTATTTTTTAGTTGACTTTTGTTTATCAATTTAGTAAGATTCCTCGTTTGTTTTGTCCTGTTCCACCGCAGGGGTGGGGTATAAAACAGAAACAGTTCCTAGAGTGAGTTGCTCTGATTAAAATTGGTATAGCTCATGCATCGATTGTTGCCGCTGGTTGTTCTGTTGGATTGGGTGGGTGGTGCTTCTGGCGTCTGCCTTTTCAGTAGAAGTTTGCGTGCATTCTTCTTGTACTACGGATTATAGTTTGTATCTGTTGCTGCCAATAGACCTGTAGGTGTTGCTGGTGCATCTGCATGTAGCTGTACCCGCCGGAGGCACCCAGTCAGGTTCAGTAAACCTGACTTCGGATCGGATTCTAGATGTTCGACTTGGAGAAGCTCACGCGCAGATGGTTCGACTCGGATAGCTGGTGGTTGTGCATCTTGATCAGCGCCAGAACGGCCTCCTCCACGGAGGACAGCTGCAGCAGCGCCATTTTACGGTCCTTCCTGTAGGAACAAGAATAAGGATCATTAGTGGATGAAATAGCTTCAATGTCACACGGACTACTTACGGGAAAAATTTGAATGCTTTGACTTCGAAGCTGTTTGAGGTGAAGGCTTCTTTGATGTCATCCTCAGAGCAGGATGAGCTGTGGGGTGAGGGAGATGGAGGTAATGGTTAGGTTTAAAATAAGAGTCATCGATTTAGGGGTGCGTGGGTGCGTGGCAGTGCCCGCTGTGCGGCTGGTTCATTGATACCGCATGGCAGGGGCTCCAAGGGGCCTTTGTGCGAGGGCTATTGGCTCGACTCATAAATTCACACAGCGGAGGGCAGACACCATCGTTCGAGTCCCAACCAGCGGGGTGCTTTGTCATATTTGGCAGACGAGGCTGCCACGCGGGGTTTCCGCTGCTCATAGCGGTAATTGTAATTGCCTTGTCGTGCCGAATCGAGCCATCGCCCAGCCTCCATGGAGAGCCTTTCCCACCACCCACGCCCACGCACACTCCCCCACCTGATCCCCCTGCAGATGGAGGACGGAGGAGCAGGTGAGAGGCCTTGCCCTGGCGAGTACTCACGGAATGTTGCTTAAATGCAGTGTCGCCGACGGCGGATAAATGTTCTGGTAGTTCTTGCTGCCCGGCTTCTTGAAGCGGTGCAACGGATTCTGCGAGTAGTCACGTGTGAGCCCGGCGTCCGGCTGTCCCTCCTTGGGCAACTGCACGGCCTGGTGTTTGCTGGCCATCACACGTATCGGCTTGCCCCATAAACGTAATTTATCAAGGTGAGACATGGCTGTGGAGCAGAAAGTAACACGTTAAAATGGGTGCACGAGGGAAAAGTTTTCGCTTGTTAGATGAGTCTGTGACTGGGGGATGGGGAATGGGAAATGGGGCTGTGTGTCAATAAATGTATCTGTGGAAATGCAATTTATATGCTGCGCCACAAGCCATAAAAATGTTTTCGCCCCTGAACCCTTAGGAAGAAACACGGCTAGAAAAATCATTTTATGATAAAACAAATATTACTCGATAATAATACCTGAATCTCTAAAGCTGCCGCAAATAAAAAGAGCAGTACTAAATCGCTTCTTAAGACTTCGCCTTTTACCTAAGAGCTTGAATTCGGTCTCTTCTTTCCGCAGTGTAGCCAAAGATCCCACCCGCCAGCCGTCGAAGTCGAACAAAGTCAGCAATAAGTGCAGGCAAATATTTACATACTGAAATGTAACTGCAACTTTATCAATGTCGTCTGCCTTTGGTGATTTATACGAGCTGAAATGCTTGTTTGGCCGTAAAAGTATTACCAAACAAAAGTTTGCCGTCTTCTGCTGGATCCTCCTGTAAGTTCCAACGGACTGCGCCTTACTTCTCATATTCTCGGCACTCATAACACCTGCGGCTCAGACGGAATGCATGTGCAACGGAGAGCTGTACTTAAGCACAATTCAATTTCCATTCCCATTTCGATTTCGATTTCAGTTTCGATTACGTTTTATTTAATTTCAGTTTCTGCCAAGTCATCCGACGGCTTAGGCCAGCTCCACTGTCCGTTCAGGGAAGTCCGAACTTTTCTCAACTCTCATGCATTACATTAATAAATTACAGCACATTTTATCACTGCTCTCCTCTGTTTTATTGTGAAGCAATATGCTTACTCAGCCGTTTATTGTTTGCCTAATGGATTAAGTGATTTTCAAAAAACCAAAGGCGCAGGAATATAATAAATTGTAAAATAAAAGGAGCGCCAGCAGTGACAAAGCCCGTCGCAGCTCACATGGCCTAAGCATCCTTTTTTCCGTACTCGTCTGTTGTGTATGACAAACACTTGTAATAAAGATTAATGTGCAGGCGAGACACTTTTCGAAAAATGGCAGGCCGGTTCCTAACTTTGCCTACCACTTCAACTTCCGCTTCCGAAAGGCTGCAGCTGCGCCTGGGCCCCGGCTCAAAAAGTATCTTAAACTTTTAATTACGAGGCTGAGGCTGCTGACCAACATCAGCAGCAACAACAAATCATTATTAACTAACAAAAACAAGCAGCCAGAAATGGGAAACAGGGAACGGGGATCGGGGAGCCCGAAAAGTAAGTGAAATGACTCGGCGATGGGGCTTCGAGGGTCTGGCCGTGTTTTATGCATGAAGTTCTGGGTTTAAGACTTTTAAGCACCATACACTTGGGACCGACCCCACTCAGAAAATGTTACTCCAGCAGCGGAAGACACCGAGGATGGGGCAATGCGGCTCAGGTGAGCCCGCATCCGGAATGGAATGGGCTCAGTTCAGTTCACTACCCCTGATAAACTCCAAGTTAGTTGTAACTTTCATGATTTGAACGATTAATGTCCAGCAATTCCTTGACTATGATCTACGGCCGCACTGGCCAGACACTTTATTATCTCTGGCTCGTAAACTATGCAAAACATCCTCTGCCCGGCATTTTCCCAGCTCCCAGTTCCCAGTAATTAATAGTGGCCCACAGAGGGCCGGGCGCCAAGTCATTCAAACAGTCACTTAGCATTGTCAACCCAAGTCGGAGGAAACTTTCACCGAACTCGACTTCTATATTTCGTAGCGCACGCACACATGGCGTATGCGTAATCGACCATAATACAAATGGCAATGGAATGCGGCCAACACATGTGAGAGTGTGAGATGGTGTGTGTGCAGGAGTTTGTTTGTTTTTATTGCAAATGCCTTTATGCGTACGCTTATGCAAAATATTTTGAAGTAATTTGTACGGAAAACAGGAAATTTATTTGCTAGCAAAGGCAAAAGAGGAAAGCCCCCAGTCGACAGCTGGGAGTGCGCCAATAAATTTGGCGGTATCTGTGTGTGTGCCGCCTGCCCATAGTTGGCAATAAGTTGGGCCAACTTAATCCCGCCCAGCTTCGCCATCCCCAGTCGCCACCCAACAAAGGCTCCATTAAAACCTCCCAAACAAGCAAACACCTCAAACTGCCCACCAAGTGGACGCAACTGAGGGTGGTGGGCGGATTATTGTTTTTTCATTGTGTGCCTTTGTCTATTTCCCACCCCCTCGCCACCCCGCCTCCGTGCCTTCTGATTGCTGTCGCAGTTAGTTGTGTCGAGTTGTTCGGTGTCCGTTCCATTTTGATTCCCTTCCCGGAATTTCGCCCCGTTTTCCGTTGACTTCACTTGCAAAAGTTTTTTGCGCCTTTACGCTGTAATTCGTATGCTGAGTGTGCAATTGTAGCCGTATTTTGTGTGTGGCCCTCGCCATAACGCACACCACCTTACGAGACACTTTCGTATGCATGGGGTGAGTTGGGTGACCCCGGGCAGCTGCTCCTTCCTGCTCCTTTCTGGTCCTGCCCTTGTTTCTCCTCCTACTGCTCCTTGTTCGGTAATCGTCTTTGTTTGTTGGCGAGAGTTTTGGGCAAAGTAACGAATGAATTTGTTAATATTTTATGAGTGCATAAGTGCGCACTCCCGCCCCGAACTCTGCCTCTACCTTCATTCCAGACTTGTTCGCGTTACCTGGTGTCCAGGTAGCTGGGTACACTCGGAAAAAGTATAGACACTTGTATTTTGTGAGCAAAAATCAGTTGAAACTATTTTCATATTTTCAGTTATGTGTTACTGTTCCTTGCTCACTAGTAACATACTGTTTTCCATAGTGTAGACGGGTTGAAACATAGGGAAAAGCCAGCAGCGGAAGTGTTTGCCATTTGGCAGCCCTTGCGGCACATTAGTAGTCTATATGCTGCCGCACGCCCATTAATATTTTCACATGCCCCGGGGCCGTTGGTTCGCATTTCTGTGCTTGACTGGGGGAATGGAGTGGCACGGAATGGAATGAAATGGAAGGGATGTCGACTTCCTAGTTTGGCACAATAATTTGCTTGTTTGGTCAAACAGTTGACTGGCTTTGGTTTTGTCGGTTCATTTGCCTAAAATCTGCACAATAGTTTTATCAACTGCAGCCGGCGGCGGCCATTTGTGGTCCTCGAACTGCTGTCAATTTTTGGACGAATTCAATTAACACAACATTACGTATACGCCACCGAAACGAATTCGGACAGATGCCGATGCTGCTGCTGCCGGTAAAAGCGCACAAAGGGAAATTACCCGAAATTAAGCCATGCATTTTCAAGAGTTCCTGCTGATTAGCTCTCCCTCCACCCATCCCCCCGCTGTAACCCAATTAATTAAGTAGGAAAATATCAAAGCGGGAATGCTATTGAGCTGGCAGCTGAAGAATGCAAGGCGCACCGCAAGCCAAAGCGGCACCGAATTCTGCGAATATGTATGTTTACATAATTATAATTAAAAAATTAATTGAGTACAGCACAAAGCATATTTTTAACGAAGGGCGAGGCGGGCCACGCAGTTGGTGACAAGCTGGCGAAAATAGTTCGCGGTCGAGCGGCGGATGTGCGGATGCGACTGCGGATATTTGGTCTGCGGGTTCGCGGATACCCTCGGGACATTTCGCATTTGTGCACCTGGTTGCCTGGGCCGGTCTGCCATCCTGCCATGCACTTATTTTCTTTTTATTTAAATCAATAAACAGTCGATGGCATTCATTATGCAGTAGCTTACGCATTTCCAGGCGCGCAATTTGCTGGCAATTTCCGCAGCGATCGCACTTTGCATTTATCGAACAGATTAAATTTATTTAAACTTTATTAACAACAGCAGCAGTCGCTGCCTGTGCGAGTGACACGGAATCGTGACGGAAAATATAATTGATAAATTACATGTGCGAACGATTAACGCCCTGATGGCATTCAACCTGATTTTCACCTGCCTCGGCGCTCAACGGAAATAAGCAGCTAATAAAATATGCCTCTTATGCAGTGAGTAATAAGGAATTTGCCAGAAATAAATATGGGCCTTTTCCATAGTAAGCACTGCAAAGACGACACAATATATGAATTTGTACCTGAGCCACATGAGCCAGCAATTTCACTCACAAAGGCCTTTGATCCGGGCTTAAAGTGTGGATGAATTTGCATATGCACGGCACCCTGGAAACTGCAGTTCCTTGCGAAAGGCTCAAAGGCAAGGACACAGGCGGGCATTTTCGCACCGCTGTCGTTTTCAATTAAGCGCCTCCCTGCAGGGCCGCAGCACTTTGACAGCTTTTGAGTTATTTTTCCAATGAATAAATAACACAAATGAAAGACAGCGGCGGACGCACCGCTGAGTGGGAACAATGAGTGCTGGCCGGAGGAGGCAAACAGCGAAACAGAGCGAATTGCTGGACTGGTGGACTGGATAGTTGGCGTGTTAAATGGAATAAAACCAAATCGAAATTGAAAAAGGTGTCGCTGTCAGCGCTGTCAACGCTTCGATCGCCTTGCCAATGCCGCTCCTGTTTTTGTAATAAAGTGGAATTTGGCACGTCGGTTGGTTGCTCTTAACGCGTCGCAATGCGCGACAATTTTCATTTCGTTTAATGCGTGCAGGGGGTCGGATTGGATCGGATGGGGGTTTAAATGGGGGTCTGGATGGGGGTCCTGAGGTCCGTAGGGGGAGTCCTTGGCCGGCGGCAAGGCGGCAGCCTGACAATGGCGAAGTGCACACAAATAAATGCAATAAAATGATTGGCATGTCCCGCCGAGCAGGAGGAGCCTTTGTTGCCCGGACTGGAACTGGATCTCCACCAGGTGTTGCTGCTGTCCAGGCGGGCTGCTGGCTGGTAATAAAGCGCTTATAAAATTCCATTTATGCGCTCGGCCAGCCATCTCTCGCTCTTGGCCCTGTAGCCCCGGCAGCCGTCCCTCTCACTTTAACAATTTTTATTATTAATACATTTTGTTTGCTGCATTTGCAGCTGCACAGCCAACAACGGTTACGGTTGCCAAAGGAATGCGCCGTTTGGAATTTCATGTTGCCGGAATTTTCATTTTAAACAAGCTGCAAATTGCAGTTGCTCTTTTTTTCGCCCCGCCCTCAGCTTACGGATCGTGACTCAGATTTTTCATTACTTTCATTTCGTTGTGTTTCGGTGTATGCAGTAGGTATGTAATGTAGTAGATGGTGGGCGGGTGGTTTGTTTGTATTCATGGGTTAGTGGGTGAAAGTGCGTCTGCTTGACTTACCCAAATAAGCTTGCTGGGGCTCCGCCATCTGAATGAGTGCCGAGTCCTTCTTGTTGTACAGAATCTTTACACGTTGCACATCGCCGTATACACCTGGGGATGGGAAGAGCAGAGGATTATGAGTATATGGTTGGGGACTACTGGGTATACAAGCGTCGGCTCGAATTTCATTGCAGTGCCAGTAAAGTTATACGAGTGTCGCGAGCGGGCCAACTAAGACTAAAGCACTTTGTAGAAAATAAGTGACCCTTTCCTAGGTATACAAAATACACTTGGAACAACCAGCGAATATATATACTTTTTATAGATTGGAAACAGTACTTTTATTATTAAAAATGTATAATAATTAGCATGCACTAAATAGGTTTTCTTATAATTTGTGGTAAGTTCGCCTATATTTATTAAATAAATTTGTTCCAAGTGTAAAAGGCTAAGACACCTTATTTGCGTGACTTCCTTAAGCTGGACCTGCACAAAGTAGTGAGCTTTCCTTCTCCTCGGCTGCTGCTTGAATTTTTGGACAGCTCCAAGCGGTTTATGGCGGCCGCGGAAAAAGTTTTACACCCCACCAAAAAGCCATAACATGCACACGAGATATCCTTTGGCACTATCCTCTTTCCACCCTCACCCTCCCACTATCCTTGCCCACAACCCGAAACCGAAGCACTCGCATTATTGCCGCGGGCCACGCCGTTAGTATCATGTACGAAACTCATAACTGGCTCAATAAGTTTTCTCTGCTATTTTTTACGAGCTTCAATTCGAACTGCACTGCTGCTCCTCCGTCGGTTGGCTGGATGGTTGGCCCAGCCGGCTTGGCTTCCTTGGCCGCATTCCGTTTTAAGGCCACGGATTTTACAGCTGTCAGACAAGGTGTGCTGGTGTGCAACTTTTCGGCGGCGGCGGACGCGTTATTGAATTGTATTTTATGGCTTTACTTACGCCGCAGACTAGGCAATATAAGGTGGGCTGAGGGCCGAGAAGCAGCTGCAGGACTGCATTAAGACTGGCAGATGACTTTAAGGAAGCTGCTGGTTTTTCTATTTTCCCCTGGCCAGTAGACTTTGCTTTGACAGCTGGCCAAGGGTCGGTCCATTGGCCCTGGGTGACTTATTTTAGACCCCCCTGCCCGGACTCCACCCCATGTGCAGCCAATCAGCGCAAATTTGAAGCAGGGCGCAAATTGCCATCAAGCATAAAAAATAGTTGCCGGTCGAGTTGGTGGCCAAAGGGCAATGGCAATGCCAATGGCAATGGCAAAGGCGACCCCAAAGCAAACAATGTAAAGTGCAGCCCTGCCCAAGACAACAAATCGAATAATGCGCAAAGTAAATTTTCAACTACTTTCAGCCACACACACCTGCACAGAAAGGAGATGGTACACTGTTAGAAATATCATGTCGTACCTTGATTTAAATACGGTTGCCTTACTTTGTTATCAGCAGTACAACTTCATAATTAACTTTACCTTAAAATGTACTTGTTGTTTAGCTTAAATATATATTCCAGAAAATATACTAAACAATCCTCTCGACTTTCTCCCAGTGGAGGAACTTAGGAAGCAATGCCGGCTATAAAAGTGAGGGCCATGCCAGCTACTCGGAGCGTAGCGAAGCGAGCGCTGCGCTAACAAGTTACAAAAGTAGCAATGGAAATGCAGGTAGTAGCAGTAAATAGTGGGGAGGAAGGCCGGGGAGGAGTTCGCAGGACAGAGCACACAGTTCAACAGTTGGCAGTAAATCCATTTTATACAGACGACTGGCTACCTGACTGACTGACTGCCTTGGTTCCCAGTTATCCGGCGGACTTGACTTATGCCAAACACCGAGCAATTTCGTTTCGTTTTTGCCAGGAATTCGGGGCAACAATTGCAGCAGAATCAGAAGCAGAGACAGACATCGACATCCACATCCACATCTGCAGGTATTGGCAGTGGAGCATATTGAATGCCAGGCAAGCCGATGCCCATGCCACTCTCCTCCAGTCGCCAGTCGCCAGTCACCAGCATAACTTGGCGTGCAACGGGGCGTATGAACAGCAGCTGCCGGTTGCCATGCAAAGTGCGCCAAGCCCGCCCAGCAGCAGCCTCAATCTTTATTCGTATTCCCATTCCCAGCTCCGACCGACCGACAGACTTGATAATAATTTATTATCGCCTGAATGTTCCTCCGAAAGTTTTTCGTTTTTTGCGGTTTCGCGACACTAACGTATGCAGACAGCGAAGCCGATTCCCCGACGGCCCATTAGTCGTGTGTTTGAGCATATTCTAGATGAAGAATTATGCGGATGGCGGTGGCATATTAGCCTGGGAGTCTATAAAGTTGAAACGGCCTTCTAAACTACGCCCCTCCTCCTCCTCCTGCTTTCCATCTCCATTATCGGCGGTGTCAAAAGCCAAACGGAAATTCAAATTCGAATTCAAATCGATGGCTTCCATTTAATCACATTCCCTCGAACGCCTGTCACAGTGCGTTTGGCTGCTAAAGCGATTTGTAGCGATTATGAAAAATTCATTGAAATTATTTGCACATTGGATTTAATTTTTCCTGTTTCGGGCACTTTATCAAATTGCATTTCTGCCACAACATGTAGCGCATAAAATTTTATGAAATTATTCCGCGCATACGTAGCAACAACAATCAACTCGCCCAGAACACGGCACACAAAGAGGGGAATCACGCGGCAATACACGCCGGATCTCTAAACGCATAAAAATTCAATTAAACACGTTTCGACAATATTTTCGGCAATGATATAAATTTTTATCACGCCATTACAATTACATAAGCGGATTACATGGCATATGTGCGAGTGCTTGGGGTGGGGGCTTGTTTCCCAGACGATTTGCAGACTGATTAAGTTTTCTTTTATTGTTATGCAAAGGCAACTCAATCCCGGCGCCCGAAATGGGCAATCGAATGTGGAATGGTGGGCTTTTGGCACTGCAGGGTGGTTTCCGGCCGAGCCTGGCCTGGGTTGGTATTGAATGCTTGACAGCCTAAGCGGCATGTGTCAAGTGTCTAAAGAGCATGCCCTAGAGAGCCTCTGGGCCCTTTCAATTGGGTCTTCGCCTAGTCGCAGGCGAAGCGAACAAAGCGCTGTCAAAACTAATAAAATGTCTGACTGGCTGGCACCCGAAAGGGTTTTGGGCTGGCACCCAACTTTTCCGGGCTTTTGGCCTTTTTGTTGCGACGCTTGTTGCTGTTTTTCGGCTAGATCAATCCCCGCGTTTGAAGTGCGTCCGTTGTTTGTCCCTGGCTCCAGACTTGAGCTCGCCACTTTTATTATTTGGTATGCAAACAGCTCTCAGGTGAGCACAGGCAGCGAACCGCACACTCGGTCCCTCCCCCTGACCCTTTGAAGTGCTAAACTCACCACCCGACGTGGCCCGCGGCGCCTTTGGCCCCACCTCATGTGGAAATCGTTGTTACGTGTCCTTGCGTGTTGCCATTAACATAACAAAAGCAGCCGTTTGCCATTTGCCGGTTGACGTTTGCCATTCGCTTGCCAGTTGCCAGCTACACTGATCAAAAATCATTTAAAAAGGGAATCTCTATTTTCAATGATGCCCTATGCTTTAAGGCTTTGGTATTGAAGCGTTATCAAACGAGCAATAAGAATAATCACCTTGGTAATTATTTTAAATAATTTCAAAAAATGATAGGAAACCCTCTTAATACCTAAAGAGATTTCGCCCGAGTGCATTTGTTTGTCGTGCAGCTCCTAGCTCCTTTAAGTGTCATTGGCGGTGCTCCTGTCTGTCCGCTGTCTGCTTAGAGCTACTTGGAAATTCAAAGGTTATTACATAAAATTTTAGCCTGCCATTTGGCTGATTGCCCGTCGAGACTCTGGCCGTCGATTACACGCTGGCTGCTCAGGCTCCTTGGGAACCCAGCGACTTTATCTAAATCTATTGGCACCCCAATAATAATACGCTTAACGTTCAACTTATCGACATCTCTCCATCTCGGCTGTGCAACGGGGCGTATGGGTATCCAACTTTCCTCTTCGCTCCGGACTGAGCCCTTCGGAGCGTTTAATCAGCAATCTAAGCTTTATTAGCAGTGCAGGCAGCTGCCAAGTGGCGGAGGAGCAGGATCAGGAGGAGGAACTGTAACTTTAGCTGCAGCAGCACTCTGCTAAGCGGTCTGCTGATCGGATTTTCCCGGCTCAGTGGCTCAAAGTTGCCCTGTGGTTTACGCTGCACAAATCCGGCATCCCGCCAACAAGAACAACAATAAGGGCAGCACGGAGCAGAGCAGAACAGAAACAATTTTTAAGCAATTAATACGTTTGGCAACATTTCTGTTTACTTTGAGCGATAAGCCCCGAACTGCTGACAGAATGGATGCAATTTGTAAATATAAATCAAAGCCAGCAGCAACAACAGCAGGGCACCGCACTGCACACAAGGGTTAAGTTCCGGGCAAGCAAGCGGCTTAACTCCCTGCTGCCCGTCATTCTCCATTCTCCATGTGGTTGCGTTTGTTTGGCAGAAGTTTATATTTGGGTATTTAAACTCAAATTAAATGCATTTGCATGCAAACAAAGGGGAAGCCTGTGTGTGTGGCCGCAAACAAACCGTTTTGTGTCACCAGAGACAAAAGGGAGAAACAGACTCTCGTTGTTGCCCGGCCATACCGGCCATACAAGCCATGCACACTGGCAAAAAACTCACCAGAGATTGGAGATTGGATCGCCGGCGGCAGGGGAGAGGGAAGGGGAGCCAGTATTGTGGCAACAAAATCCATTATGCTGCAATTATGCGCCACACTTGGCAGAATGCTCGTAGAACCGGACAAAAACTTGCTCAATCGATGTGTTTTGGTAATTAAATCAAGTACATAATGGAGCAAGCCAAATGGAGAAATGCAGCGCAAGTGAAAAGTCAACTGGGAGTCCCATAAAATAATAAAACACACACACTGGCTGGGCCTGCTGGGGGAAGCTGGGGAGTGGGAGAGCAATTCAAACAGCAAACCCCATTAACTTTACAAAGTTAGTTAAATTCATTTGGCAAACAGACGACAGACGACGAAAAACCAGCAAGGAGACAGGAGACAATCCCCTTTTCCATTCGAGAAACCAACCAAGCAACCAACCAACCGACCGGCTAACCGAGCCAACGAGCTACGAAAAGTCACAAGTAAATTTTATTTCAATTGTAAGAGCCAGCAAAAACTACACAATGATCATGGTTGTGTGCGGTATAAAAGGTATATATAAATACAGAGACCCCGGCAGAGCGGGAGGAAAAACCACACACACACGCACGGAGAAAAAATAAGGAATTTCTTAGTCCGTTGACGCTTCTAGAAAATTAATTTAAAGCTTTGAATAATTTTCCCAATTTTGATGATATTGGAATATATTAGTTTTTAATTGAATCCACAAGCTGAAAGTATTTTTGTAACACACTTATTTCCTTGGCATTTATTTTAAATAAATAAATGTGAACTAAATGAAAATAATTTGGGAACATTTATTTATTCTACATACTCGAAAGTTAAAAGCTTGAAGAACAGGGAGGGATCGGATATAGGAATTATTGCATACTAAGGGTATACAAGGTCTTCACATTTTTTCTCTGTGCACACACACTAAGGAAAGGCAGCAAAAGCAACAATGGGCGACAGCAACAAGCGCAATGATAACTAAATAAATGGACATTTTTATAGCTATGCACTTCCGCACTCAATCTTTTGTGCTGCGAGTGTGTTAGTGGGTGCCGGAGTTCGTGTGTGTGTGTGGCAGGATGAGCACATGTTAAAGCATGTGTTTTGTGCATGCATTTTAGCTCTCAGCTCAGAGGCGTTCGCTCTCTCGCCCCCTGGCCCCTGGGCTCAGGGTCCTGGGCCTCAACAATGGAAACCAGCTACGAGCACACTTAATTCATGTAATTTCACACACACACAGACACACGCACACACACCAAGACAACGGAGGAGCAACAGGATGCACAAGTGCTGGTGCTGCCACTGCACCACCGCTCCTGGCTGAGTGCGGTTTCACTTGTTGCCAGTTGCTGCTGCTGTGTTTTTAATATATGTATGTTCGTACTTCGTATGACTACACAGGACGTCGAGTGTATTCTCATTTTCATTGTTTTACAATTTGTAAGCAGAACTTATGACAGGATAAATGGCAGAAGGACAAGACTGGGTGGCCGAAGAACGCTTTCCATTCTGGATTCAAGCTGCCTGATGGATTTGGCCCTGCTGCTGCTGGCAAAAAGCTATTAGAAAGCCATTTGTTGCCGGCTTTAGCCGGTTTATTCCATTTGGCAATACAATAAATACTGCCACTGGCACACGGAAAAGCGGAAAACAGAAAAAAGAAAAAGTGCACAGCACCATCTCTCCATTTAAATGGGTTTTATAGCCCGATCGGGTTGCTCTAAATTTATTTTCTTTTCTCGCAGGGACTATTGGCCTTTGCCTTCCGTGGAATATGATCGCTGTGAGCTAGGAATGGATTTCTAGCTCGAAGTCCAGGACTTTTACTGCTTTCAGTTGATGGTTCTATTTTATATCTCCCACATGGCGATGCATTTTATGTGCAAACTGCCAGACGCCCGCTGCATACCCAAATTTCTATAAGCCCCTTCTCTCCTGTTTTAAGGCTTTTTCAATATTTTAAACAGTTTGTGCCGCATTTTTGTCAGCTATTGCTTTGTTAACCCAACCACCCCGCTCCCCTGGTGCCCTCAAATTCTGGGGGATAAATAATTCATGGCACTTTTGCTGATTGCACGTAAATGGCGTAAATGCCAACCGGAAGCGAGGATAAAGGGAGATTGAGAACACGGAGAGCAGCTACACGGAGTAAAGGTAAAGGATAAAGCGTTGGCCTCGCTCGATTCGTACAGTGTAAATTCAATGAATAATCAAGTAAACTACTTATAAATTGTTCAAGGAGTGTAAATTTATGTGGGACACGTTGTGACCGGGCAAAGCTAGACGGGACAATAGGTATTTGCTTTCGTTTCTGGGGGGAGATAGTTAGTCGGATAGCGAAAGAGACAGAGATCAACTACGAATGGAGATGTGTGCATTACTGCATTCCTCCAAACAACTTCTATCCCCTAGCTTGGCCCGGAAAACAAACAAATAAAATCGAAAGAACTGGCAATTAATAGAGTAATCGTTTGTGCAGACGTACCAAAGAGGGTAAAGAGAGCATCAGGCGTGACCATCTACAGAGAAAAAGAGAAAATAGAGTTTGTCGTCAGTTAGCGAGAGTTTCGTTTCAGATGTTTTACAAATAATAAAAAACAACAAAGTTAAACAGGAAATAAACAAATTAAATCATAGAACATGGATCTGAAGACAGTGTTTCAGTTTCGGTTTCAGGCTGGGACGCAGAGAAAGAGATAGAGAGTTGGAGGAAGAGGGAAGGGGAGAGGTTCTCAGGTCCCAGTCCTGTCAACAGATACACTACACATATACAAATACGAGTACAAATAAATGGTTATTAAAATATGAAATCGTTTGTGTGGGAGGCGAGAAATTAAAGCGCTTTTTATAAATGGTTGAAAAAAGTGTAAACACAAATTTGCAACGTATGGAAAAACATGGGCGTACACGGAATGCAAACTAATTTTACGCTTTTAATAAGCATATGATAGTCTTAAAAAATGGGTGATTGAATTTATTGTCAATATATATTTTGCCGCTTTAATTAATTTTTAGAGAACCTTAAATATTTATTAAAATGGGTATCAATCAGGGTAAAAAGTGCCTCCTTTCGGTAATCATCCAACCATGGACTTGAGGCTTTACTACCTCACAGAGAACCTTACAATCTCGAAACGCACTTACCTCCTCATTTAAATTCGAGACGAGCAGAACATTTGAGTATCCGCGCATAGCGGGAGCGGCCGTCTGCAGGGCACCGCTATTGGCCAGCGAGAAGGCGGCCAAGTTGGGCAGGGCGTTGCTGTAGCCGCCGGTCAGCGGAGTGCCCAGACCCAAGGCGAAGGGCGGCAGGACTCCCGGGGCGCCCAGGCCGTTGACTGAAAGAAAATTGAAGAGGAGTTAGCCATCTGTCAGTGCTGAGAGTTTTCGATTAGTTGCATGCCACTTAAGCTCTATTTGAATCGATAGCAGGTGTAAAGGCAAAAAGACTGAAACAAGGCATAGCGTATAAGTGTGTGATACTCAGTGATGCAAAAACCGATTTCACAAAATTAAAAGAAGAATCAAATATACTCGAGTCAGGACCCTTACAATTTAATTTGTTTTATTAGATTTTCAGAAAATACAAAAACCTAGCTTGTCAACGAATTTATCTTTTAATGGAATAAATTTGATAAAAATACTTTAAGGCAACAAAATCAATTTAAAATATATAAATATGAAAATTAAAATTTTCAAAAATTTAGCAGATGATTTTTTTTGTGGTTAGCAACAAGAAGCGTAGGAAAAACATAAAGGAAAAATCGGGAAAATGTTCCGTTCGTGTTACCTATTTTATCACCTGTGAGAGAAGGCCGCTGCCGGGCGGCGATCAGTAGCAGATCGTTGGTGTTCATCAGTCCTCCGGCGGTGGGCATGAGGTCCACCCCCGGTTCGCCCGGCGGCAGCGCGGGGTTCGTGAAGTCGCGCGACTTGTCGTTGTTGTACTTGACGTTCAGCGCCGTCAGTTTGCTGTTGTCAATGCGCAGCGTGCAGCAGCCGTTGTATATGTTCTGCCCGTCCAGGAGCGACTTGGCGTGCTGGGCGGAATTGGCGTCCGGATATTGGATCAGGGCCTGCAACCAAAGAAGAAGAGGGTATTAGCCGATAGTTTCGGGGAAAAACAAATGACTCCACTTAAGAACTCGAATTCAAACTCACCTGGAATGAATTATTCTTGGTGAAGGTGACGATCTTCAGCACCTTGCCGTAGCGCTGGAATATCTGGTGGAGAATGTCCAGCGAGACGGGGTACATCAGCGACTCCACGATCACACGGAGCACCGTGTTGGGTCCGCCGGCCGAGTTCGTGTTGTTTCCGGCTGCATTGACGGCGCTCGTGTTGTTCTGCAAGATGCCCACGGCACTGCTGTTGCTGTCGCCGGAGCTGTTGGCATTGTTGCTGGTCGCATTGGCAGCGGCGCAGAGGGGCAGGGGCGATCCGCCGGCCGGGGACTGGATGCGGTAGTCGCTCTGGACGACCGAGTTCTGAAAGCAGAGGGAGGAGGCAACATGATAAGGATCTTGAGCCAATTTACTTGGGGGAATCGCGCGAAGGAAACTTTTATTAGTTAAAGGCGCAAACTTTTGCGCATTAATCAAAGCAACTGGCAGTGCACAAAATTTATGCAGTTTGGAAAGTTTTTTTTACGGCAAGAGGACAGCTGCACTCAAAGAAATATCAGTAAACATAATTTCAAATAAATTAATTTAAGAATTTTAATAATTAATAAATATTTATTACATTGATACAGTCGATGTAAATGACCCAAAATCTTAAAAACCAAAATTTAATTTTAATATAAGAAAAAATTTTTTTTTTGAGTGCTAGAATATGTTAAACGTTTGTGCGGCAGCCAGCCAGTCAAAAACTTAGCGGTACCCTGTGCTATTTGGGAATCGTCTTCGCCAACATAAATCTCAATCAGAATCAATAATATCAAGTATCGTAATAATAAAAGAAAAACGGGAGGTGGAAGGCAGACGCAGAGAGAAGTCTGCCGGTGACGAGGATGCTGGGCGGATGCCAGATACGGTTCTTAGTGAGCAACAAAAACTTCTTGCGTGAAATATACACGTTCTATCGGAAAACAATTTAATGACATTCGGAAGTAAATTTATTCCTATTCGTGCTGAATTTTGATTTCGAAAATCATAACGTAAACACATTCGACCGCCCACCGAACCACCTGCCCCCGATTTCCTCTTATCCTGCCCATTTGCGACGCGTTTTTTGTGCGTTTGTCAGCAACAGGAGAGACTAGGCGAGGAATGGGATGGGGTGGGTAGACAATCCTCCCCAGGCGTGCTATTTGTTTCTGCCTGCTCCTAGATAAATTCCTTCTCATCGGAAACAAAAAGCCCGGCGACGTGAGCACTGCCTTCGACCCTCTGCTTGAAGCCAAAGTTTGTAAAAATAATAAAAATTGATTAGAATTGCCGAGTGCCGAGCTGCGTGGCTAGACAGGGCGTATGTGGGATGTACAGTGTGGCATGAGTGTGGCTCTGGCCCATGATGATGCGGCTGCTTCGTCTTCGATTGCCATCATGCTGGATCCAGATGCCTGTGGGATGCCATCAGTGGCTGTCGCTGGGTTTCCTTTCCGCCGCCAGTAATTTGATACTTCACTTTGCCTGATTATTATGATGACGATGACGTTGATTGTGTAAAAATTGTAATGTAATTGTTGGGAAGCGTTTGCCCATCTATTACTCATGCTATCCAGCTATCTCCGCTGGGCTTGTTTAAACAGCAAAGTTGGTTAGCATTAACTAGCTGTCAAGTGGGCAATTGGCAGGCGTTTAAGCACTTTGATAATTGTGCATAAGTTCGCACTGGCACTTGAGTAACTAACTTGGCCACCTCGACTTGCTATTTATGGGATTCTGCACTAAGAGGAAAGTCCTTTGCTTGTATTAGATTTTGAGTAAAGCAAAAAGTTAACTAAGAGAATATTCTGATAATAAATAAAACATGATATTAAAAATTATCTTAAAATAATGGCTTATCGATTTCGATACTTTAGCTGCTAATTTCCCCGAGTGTATTCAAGGCCCATAATAATGGGCATTCACAGTTGGAGGCTCTAAGCCAAACCAAATTTTGGGAGCACTTGCACGCATATTAGGCTAAGCCATTCTAATTATCCTACAGGACACAGGGCGGCCACTGGGAAAGGGAAGAGAAAGGGGATGGGGAAAGTTTAGGGACCACAACCAGCAACATCATTAAACATAACACATCGTTGTGTGTGTGCGGCTGTGTTTGTATTGGACTTTGCTTGTCGCGGTTTTGCCTGTTAATGAGTCAATTGTGCGTTCCCCTTCCCATTCCCTCCCCCACTGTTGTTGTGGGCTGATTAGATATGCAAACAGCCAAACCCCCACCCACTATAGGGAAGGGAACCACCTCACCACATTGTTATAATTTAATATCGATGGGCTGGCTGCTGCTTCTTCGCTCCCCCCCTGCATAATGCCACATTTGATAAGCCAAAATGCTTTGATAAGCGAAATGTATCGACTACTTGCTGATAAGCACATTTATCGATCGATGCGTGTCAGTGGGAAAATCTGGACAAAAGACACACGTGTCCCCGCCACTCGGCCATTTAACTCATGCGATGTGAAAACCATAATGGGGGAACTTTAGCGAAGAGTTCACCACACTGAGCTTATGGATATTCAGGGATTCTTGGGCAAACTATAGCGGCAAAGTCAAGCCAAGTCTCCATACGACGCACAAACAAAAAGTATTCAAAAAATCTGATACTTCGCAGCTCGCTAAAAGGAGTTCTCGGCAAACTTTTGCAATATTCAACAAGCGGAAAAGAACTCGGCAATTGTTTTATGATTTTGATGCGGTTTTTGCATAAGAAATAAACCAGCAAAATGGCTGACAAAAGGCAAGAGCTCAGGGCTGCGGTTCCACAACTCTAGAGGCGCCAAAAAATATTGACGTTGCTTTCACTTAAGGTTTTGCATAAATATTTTTGTTTCATAGCGCTTTCGTGTGCTTCTCCTTTTTTTCCTGCGGCCAGGAAGTTTATTTTCATTGCAATGTCACACTGAGTACCTTGACTTCCTTGCCTCTCCTGACAGGCACACTTTAAACTGCATGGCGAGTCCTTTCGAGCAGGAGGAGGACTCAAGTGTCGTCGCCCCTTTTCAAGAGCCGGCTGTAGCTGAAGCTGAAGCGAGAGCTTAAGTGTTCGGGCCAAGTTAGAAAGTAAAGCAGCTACAGCTACAGATGCTTGGCCACCATCTCCGCCGTCCCCAATCCCCGATCCCCTTCTCAGAAGCTGCCTTTTTTGGCGCTCTTGCAACTGGAAGAGGGAAACTTTTTTGGCCAACTACCACTACAAGTTATGAACTTGTGTAGTTAAGTTTTAAAGCTGAGCTCGGGATTATGTATTAGTTTGCCGTGGGTCGTTTATCTGCTGCGTGGTTTTTACGGTCAAGCCAAAGAGGAGAAGTTGCTCAAAAGTAAAAAAAAGGAGGAAGGAACAGCGGTCTCAGTGCCAACAAACCATATTTGTCTTATTTATGCAAAGGGCACACAAAAATAGCAGCTACGCCAAGTGTGTTAAAAGCCTTTGGCAAAAATATTCCACAAATAGGACTATAAAACCGGAGCGGCTTAAATAAATACGAGTTACGCAAAGTAGCAAAATCTGCTGGCCAAAAAACAAAAGTAAATACGCCAGCGAAAACAAAGTAGGGAAGGGGAAGAGGGAACGGGGAAAGCCACTTTCGGGCAGCCGTAATGCAAAACTAATCAATACAATGAAAATATTGACACAGCCGCTGGAAAAGTCAGTGCATACACATAAAGTTGTCAGATGTCGGCAGTCGGTTTTTTGGGTTTTCTGGGATCTGGCCTGCCTGGGTTGTGTCGACAGTTCCGCAGTTGTTATCCTACTCCACTCCACCACTCGGATCTCACGTACTGCGAAACAATGTAATTTAAATCCATTTTCAACACGTCGCCAATCAAAATGGCAAAAAGCTTTAGAGTATAGCACAAGTATAAGCAAACATTCGCATCCGCATAACTCAAAGGATCAGGAGCAGAAGGCACGGCCACATTCGCGATGCTCCTGCTCTTCGGCGCTGTTGTGAAAACAATAAGATTAGCTTACTTTTGCCTTTGCTTTCGACGGCGACGGCGACGAAGAGCGATGGGCGGTAAAGTAAACGTGAAAATAAAATGGGAAAACAGGAAAACAGCAAAGAAAAACACAAGCCAGGCAGCGCATAGAAAAACAAACATTGAGCAGATAGCAGATAGCATTCAGCGGATAGCACCCCATATGTGAAGTTATTTGCCTGGGCAAAATCCTTTACTGCACACGCCTGAGAGTTAGACAAATAGCGTGCCGAAAGAAAAGGCCCCATAAGCTGGTTTTCCCGCTTTTCCCGCTCTTCCAACCCCTCGCAGTATTGACAGCCTGTCAGCCGAGGCGCAAATTAAATAACACATTGAGGTCTGTGTCGCTGAGCCGGGCTCATATTATTAACACCAAATCAAATGTACGGCCTTATCCCCGTTGGCCTGTTATTTATAGACATGCGGGCATCAGACATCACGAATAAGACTTTGCTAATCAGCTTGATCCTTTCTGTGGCTTAATCGCTTGACATTTGTATTAGTTCTGTGCCATTCTTGCCCGGACTTGCCTTCCTTCCCTTTGATCCCCGCCAGGTGTCAAACGCGGTGTAAATTAATCCCACTTCGTGTTGCCGCCCAATTTTCATGTGTGTGCCATTAATTGACAATTGCCGTCCGTCACTTGGCTCCGTTTGTGTTTTTCTTGGTGACTCGCCATTGTTTGGTTTGAAGGAGGCGTCCGTAAAATGCGGCTCTCTCTGTAGTCGGCAATTTAATTTAATTACAAGGTAACCTTATCACTGCAGGGAAAACGAGCACCTGCCCACACACACATTCAGCGGAGAGCAAACGTATGCAAGCGAGCGCTTGGGAAATGCATTTGCCTGTGCACTTGCACTGCGATAAAATATCTCAAGTCGTTAAATTCGATTTGGTATATTTAGCTCTTCAATTGGAATTTGCATTTGTGAGTGTATAAATACGACAACAGTTTCCTCTTGTATCCAAATGATTGCCTTTCGACTTCAGCAATGCACTCTCCATTTAAAGAAAATTTTTTCCCAGTGTCTGGTAGTTGTTTGGCTGCTGTTCAGATTCAGTTTGTAGCGCTTTCAATGGGCTGCAGTGGACCGGCACTTGCCTCGGCTCCATTGTCCTTTTCCCGTTGGGCTGTTTTGGTGTTTTGGCGGCGAGTGGCAATTATGACGATTACCCGAATTTGCGTTCGCGCTTGAACGCGCGACTCCCGCTGAGGTGAGAGAATGAGACTCGAAGTACATCTTCAAAGTGCATGCAACGATTAATCAATTGTGCGAATCTAATGAAGCCAGAATGGCAGCGGAGGGGCAAGGGGCTGGCAAATGTTACACTGGAGATTAGACTAGGGATTGGCTGCCTTTTGTTGCCAAATTATATTTCAATCCAATTCTTTGTGGGGCTGCTGGCCCCATTTCCCCGAGTGGCTGTCAACCCTTTTCGGCCGTAAAAGAGGCCAGGCTCAAAAATTAATTTATCAAAATTACCCAAAACAAAACTGGCCCACAGAGGCAACAGATGCGCCATCGCAGTTCCACACACACAGAACAATCACATGTCAAATTTGAAACCCACTAAACAATGCCAGTTGCGGACCTTTGGGGTTGGATTTTTGGATTGCTTAGGTGGCTGGGTGGCTGAGTGGCTCTTGGGCTTCTGCGGGCAGCTCGTTGCGGTCGTAACCGCGTGAACTTGCCAGTGCATTTATCTTCATTTCTGGCATCTTAGTCAAGGGTCGCCGCAGCACAGTAGCACACGAGCAGAAAGCTAGAGGGAGAAACCCTAAGACGCCCGAGTAAGACATCACCGAAAATAGTCACAGAAAACCAGAAGCCGGAGCAGAAATAGAAACTGAAACAGCTCAGAGCACTCCGGATGAAGGAGGAGCGAAGCAAAGGTGAAAGGACATCCCAACGACATGACATATTAGAATCCTGTTACGCAGCAGCAACAGCAGCGTTGCCGGTTGACTGCCAAATTGCCAACATAAATGTCAGAGGGGAAAGTTGGTTGTAGGGTGGTGATATGGCTGCAAAGTATGCTACGGGATTTTTCATTTCTACTGCTTGGTTTTCCCTCCTATTTGTTTTATTTTCTATACCATGCAATCACTCAGCCGTTGAAATCACACATGTGTGCTGCTAGATGTCTACGTGTCTGAATGTGTGTGTGTGTGAGGGCGGGGGAGATGATTTGGAAATCCTGTATTGCTGATTTGCTGCTGCTGCTGTCGTCGCAGCTTTTGCCTTCAGGTGCGTGTCGCCTCCTCTGCTGGGGTTAAAATCCCCGAGGGCCATGCAATGGATTTGTCTCTCGCTCGGTGGAGATGAAATAGAATCTGCCCTACTCCTTACCCCTTTATGCCCCGAGTTTAAAGCATAGAGAACAGAACAACCTTTGCCAACAGGAAATTGATGAAAATTCAAAATTTACGGAAATACCCAACTAACGAGGGAATTAAAAAAGACTCTTCTCTTCTCCTGCAATTGCAAAGGACCCGCACTTGACAGGCAACGTCTCCTGATTCTGCTACTGCTTCTGCTCATATGATTTCTTAAGTTTCGCTGACAACAATTCGCTAAGCATCTTATCTCAAGCTTGCCACACTGCAGCAGGAACAGCAACAACAGTGGCAAAAGCTGCGACAGCAGCAACACAAATAGCAAATGACAGGCGGCGAAATATGACGCAAAACGCAGAAATAAAGGAACAGTCAACAGTGGCTGGGCCAGGACGCCAAACAATCAACTGAATGCTGCACAGGTGGGCCGCCAGACACACAGGACACAAAAGGGAGCAGGAGCGACAGTAGGGCAGGAGCAACAGAAGCCCAAGACAAGACATTCGCACAATGGACATGGCCAGGAGAAAGAAAACTGAATGAAATGAGAAATTGTATAAATATGTTGGCAGCAGCACACAGAACAGCACACAAGATTAAACCTCTTCCACTCGCACAAACACACTCTCCTGCATTTTAAGAGATTTTCCACTAGAGAAGGCGGCGGCGTTGACTTTTCCACTCGTCTGACTTGTCTCACGTTGTCTGCGGGCCAACAACAAGGCCTTTTACCAGGATTAGTAGTTAACAAGAGAAATCTGCCCACGCACACACAGATACGCGCTGGATAGAGATACACACGAGGTTGGGGCCTTGCCACAGCCACAGCCAAAAGGTAATCAGTGAAATGTAACTGTATTGTTTGGCCTACCAGGGTTGCCATTGTTGCTGCTGTGTCACCTAAGTCTTGTTTCTGGCCCTCGTGCTGCTGTTCCTGTTGCTGCTACTGCTACTGCCACTGCAGCCTCTTAACCTTTTTCCGTTGTTGTTCGTGTTGCTGTTGCGATCTCTTTTTAAGTAGTTTGCTTTTGGGCTCACCACCACGAAATCCTCCACCACCACCAGGTGGCGCACCACCACCACCCCCGCAAAGGTGACAACCTCGCTTTGGGTTTTCTCCTGGCCCGATTGTTGCTGCTCTTACTGCGGCTGCCCTTGCCTTTGCCTTTGCCTGTGCCCCTTTTACCAACCCAGCAACCCACCAACCCCCTCCACTTTCAGTTAAGTAATCAAAATATGCTTTTGACTCCGAGCTAAGCAGCTGGCATCCCTGTGCTGGTCTCCTGATTCGTTTGTCTCCTCGGTATGCGTGCGGTTTCATTTGTATTTATGTTCGCCTCCCTCCCCCGACTACCCCTTCTGAATGCTCGCTCTGAATTTCTCTGTGTGGGCTATCCACAAAACCCCAAAAACTATGCATTTTACTGCTTTTGTCAGACACGTGTGTGTGTGGGATAGTAAGAGTGTGTGCGCGGCCATGTGTATTTATTTGAAAGCTTTTTAAACTTTGTCAGTGACTTTGTGGCTTACGAAATTAAAATTAGAAATTGGTTTAGAGCACCCACAAATACAGGCACGCTCTCAAAGGACACTAGCGTGTGTGTGTGTGCATTTATGATGGGTCCAAATCTCTTGAGGAGCGGGTTTAAGTTGCCCAGAAAGTGTAATTAATCAGACGGTTCGCCGTGGCGACCCACATTTGCATATAAATCGTAGTTGCTTCATTTGTTTCCTCTGGCCGAAAACTTAATTGCCACATTAATAACACTTAAGACCGGAAGTTGTGCCAAACCCAGATATCGGTTTGGAGGGTCTTGGGAATATTCCTCAGAAAAGTTTATCTTTTCGATGATTGGATATTATAGGTAAAATAGATATGCCTTCTTGTTATTTATGGCCCTATTCTATTAAAAAGTTTGGGTATATTACGAGAATTACCAGGGGAGAACAATTTAATAGTTATCTATGACTTCTTGTTATTAATAGCCTGCTCGTACGCATATTACGCATATTAACAAAAGTTAAAGGTACAGTTTACAGTATTGCTTATGAATAATATTCAAATATCTCTACTCACATTGTGACTTTGGTCCGTCTTCAGCTCGCGATGGTTGGAGAACTGCACGTAGACCATGCGGCCGCGCATCTGGGGCGGATTAACTGTGTAGCAGGACACCATCGACGTGGCGGAGATCTCGTCGGCCATCTCGATGAACGCCTGGTTCTTGCCCTTGAGCACCAGCACGTTGGTCACGCGTCCGAACGGAATGCCCAGGGCAATCACATCCGACTCGCCGGACTCGTTTGGAATGTTGCGCAAGTGGATGACTTTGGAGGCCTTGGCTGCAATGGGAAAGGGAAAAAGGGGAAAATAAGCATACGTTGTTTAACCGATTGAAATATTAAACAGGTGACAATCCCTACAGGGCTCTCTCCCCATCTCTTTCACTGTTTCTCCTGCAGCATCCCCGTCTCGTTTGGGGGCCATCTCCGGTTCACTTAATGGCCAGCGCTGTCTGCACTTCCGTTTCCGCGCTTCACTTAATTTGTTTATTTTTCGGTTTTATTTGCTGCCTGCCTTTGTTGCCAAAGGAGAGTGGGAGGAAGGGTGCAAATAAAAATGTTGATAACATGGCCAAACGCCGCCACATTTGTATACACTTTGCACAGTTAAACCCGGTCCGGGGGGGCGGGGCAGGAGGGGGAGTGGCACCGCCATAAATTCATTCATTGCACACTTTCAACGGCTGTGAATAATCCAGCAGCAACACGGCGACAATGTCCGGCGCACAGACAACGTTTGAGGCTTTTAGGCACTCGTCGTCGTTTTTGCAGCTTCTCTGCTTTTGCTGTCTCCTCTGCTCGTTGGCTACTTGTTTGTTATTTTTGCATAAATAAAGCGCCCCACCCACTGCCCAAAAGTGGTGCAGCACAAATGGGATTTAGGCTGCCTTTGGCCCTGGAAGCGATTGCAGCCACATTTCGGGGATATCCCTGCAACAGCACTGAGCGAAAGCTGTCTTTTGAATGGCGCACAAATAAAACATTTCTAAATTTAAAACATAAGATTTATCTTTAAAGAAATATGAGGTAAAATAAAATGAATTATCCACTTTTTTCTATTTCTTACTTTCAAAAACACTTTTTCGCTGAGTGAAACTCTGCCTCGAGAGCGCTTTAAATTTGTATAAACAAAGGCAAACAAATTTGCCACTCTTTATGGGAAACTGCAGTGGCGGAAGAGGAATTGGGGAGTGCTAGAATCTGTCTGGCGCTTAGTCAACACCTGTTAATGTGTTGGTTTGTGCGCTTTTTATTTTCTGTGGCACCTGCAGGAGAACCGTTTGCCGTTCATATGCAAATGAAATGCAGTCGCCCCTGCCCTCTGCCGATTTTCACACACTCTGGTGTTTGCTAAACAAGCCAACACATGGTCAGAGATAGTCCACGGATGAACGTGGTCTGAAGTTCCGGACGCCGTCCAGCTGTCGTTTTAATTATGCCCGAATTTAATGTGAATTTAACTTGGGGGTAAACAACAAAAATAGCTTATATAAAGTAAATATAAATATTAAATTCAAAATGTTTAATCATGTATTTCAATTTCGAAGTAATTAGAAGGAACTTCGATTCCCCAGTGACAAGTTATTGAATTGAAACTACTGTCTACGCATTTGGGCTACGAATTTCCAAGATTGAGATAAATTGATAGTTGGCTCCCGAACTTTCCCCCATAACTCATAATGTAAAAGGGTCATTATCCGGCCAATTCCCCACATTCAATCACAGCCCAGACGCTGGGGGTCAATGTTCCGATTTATTTCACAATGAAAAACCACCAGGAGAACCACCACAGGACCTGAATCGGTCCTTCCTCTAACCCACTTTCGAGCGACCAACGGACCAACCTTTGTGCCTGCGAAAGGAAAAAGTCGAGCCACTTCGAGAGGCTCGAGTCCCGAGTCCCGGGATTCGAAGTGCACTCTGTGAACTCTCCCTGCCATCCGGTCAATGCTGAATACAACTAATCGGAAATTACACTTTTTGATTAGTTCGAAACGGAAATGAAGCCGAAACGAAATTATGCAGCCGGGTCAGGACCTGTGCGGTCGTTATAGTTGAGCATTCGCATTCAGCCGACCGAACCGAGCGGCAGCTCAAAAATTTATTAAAAATCAATGGGCAACTGCAGGGCGATGAGATCTGCTCCATCACTCTGTCGACCCCACAACTCTCCATAAATAACGGCCGAAATCGAAATCGAAAACGAAAAAGACTGGGAAAACTGTGAAAGCTGTGAATCGAAACTAAATAAAAAGTGGGAAGCGGACGCGCGGGCCGGAAATGTTCTGCACAAGACAAACAACAAATCAAGTGCCGTTGGCCAGTTGCCGGAAAAAACGTCGAGGGCGAAAATATGTAAAGGTATCTATCATGCATGATGACGTTGTTCCCGACGAACCGGGGGAAAAACTGGCGAAATTTGTGGATTTTTTGACGTTCGGCTGCCAACAACTCAATTCGGTTTTTCTCCTCTTGCTTTTCTTCTTTTGCTACATTTGTTTCAAATCGCAGCAAACACGCTGCCTGATGGTGTGAAAACGAGAAAACGAGAAATGCCAATGCCAATGCAACAATGGGCGAATCGACAAGCGTTGCAACTGCCGGAGCCCTCGGCTGCTTTTGCTGCTGCTGCTGCAGTGGCTCCAACAAAGGCGGACGGCATAATTGAAAAGGAAGATGGCGCCGAGCGCTGACGACAACCGGAAACATAGCCAGAAGCGCTGCAGCTACAACTTCTACAACTGAAGTTGCACAAAAAATTGCAATTTGAATCAGGCTGCTTCGGTTTGGGGTTCGTGGCCTGCGGGCCGATTTGTTCGCAGTTATGGCATTGCTGCTTTTTAATTAACAGCGAGTTAAATAACCCGGACCAGCAAATATTTGCACAGCAAACAATAATTGCATTTTGTGGCGGACTCAGAATTAATCATGGGCCGAGAGCCCACCGATACTCTGGGATAATTATGGTACAATGCTAAATCAACAGGACCCGAAATGCATTAACTGCATTGGCTGAAAAAAGTGCAGCGATAAAATTTGCATTCGATAATGATGACGCTGGGGCTGCCTGTTGACTGTCAATGCCCCATGGATGATATGAATAGCAATCATCCGCTCGGCTGCGCGTTAAAATGAGCTGCAAGGACGTGGGGCCAAAGCTCAGCAGTATTAATGACCCTCACGCACACACACGCGTGAAAGTGCCCTTCTGCCCAGTCTGCCGCTTTCAATTAAACACACACACGCACTCACCACTTCCACTTCCAATGAGTTGCACAAAAATATACATAAATAAACTATTTATAGCTAATTGAAAAGTTTACAAACTGTAATTGAGTTCGGACGACGATGGTTGGGCCGCAATGAATGGTCAGTCTGTCCAGCGTGGCGTATGTGTAATAATTCTCCCCTGCCCCACAGGCCATACAGCGCACCAAGTTAATTAATGACAATTTAAATTCATAAAGCAAACAGAAACCCCAAACGAAAAATGTAAATGAAAATGAATGGAAAAAGCGAGTCGAACAAAAGAAAAGGGCTTTTCCCTGGGGGCGGGGGTCGGTGGGCGTGGCCGTCGGGATAAAATAAGTGCTGATTGTTAATAACAATTAAATTTATGCTTACATGGCGGCATTTAATGATTTAATGTGAGCGTGACGCCAGTGTTTGTCTCCGAAGTTCCGAGTTCCGCCCCCAAACTTTGCCGAGGGTGTGTCAACAGTCGAATATATAATTTGTATAAATACTCGCTCGACTCACGCACACAGAGCTGTTCGTTCGAGCGTCTTTAATTATGCGACAGTAAATTAGATTTTTACAAGCTCACACATCATAAATTTTAAATTGTTGGGCAAACTTGTGTCCTTTACGTGTCTGTCGCTCTGCCTCCTCGGTCTCTTCCCCATATCCTTCTGTGTGCACAGCGACTTAATGATATTTGCTCAGCCAGCCGGGCCTTGTCTTTAATTTAAACATTTGCCCACGCATAATCAATCATGGCACAATTTTTTGGCAGCAAATGAAACCCAATGCCAGCGGCCTCGTTGCCTTTTGCATTTCAGCCGGCAGAATCCAGAATCCCCCGACACGAGACGGGGCCATAATTGAAAATAACGATTTTCTTTTGCAGCTCGGGCCTAACACCCGCAAGAAATGTAATTCATTAAAAATTTGTCAGGCAGGGGAGGGGAAGCTGGTTCTTCTGCCAAGCGACTGCGACTGCGAATGCAAGGAGTCAACGTACGCAGTCAGGTTTGAACAGCCCGACGACGTTTACAAATTTTAATTGCATTTCAATTACGAAAATAGTTTTTTTCGCCATCTGTCCCATCCTCGCTGAGCCGCCCACACATCCATTTCATCTCGGAGGTTGGAGATTGGGGCCTGGAACTGCATTGGCAGTTAGCTGGCTGCAGGATGCAGTCTAGAGAGCCGAGGACTTCATGTCTGTGTGCAGTCAAGTGGCATTCAGTCAAACAGCCGACAGCCAGGACCAGACTGCGACTGCACGTCGAAAAATATAGTTTACATATTATATACTCGAGGGACTGGAATCGAATTTTATTTTAGGACGCAGATGATAAAAACTAAACAAATACAAAATTTTTTTTTCTCTACCTGAAATATTTGACCTAAAATTAAACAGAGGTATTTTTCTTAGTGATCGATTTGATCTGGGTGCTGGTTAGAAGTCCGTAAAGTATATCAATTGTTTAAGTTATGAGCAAACACAGAGGAGCAAGGAAGCTTCGGTTTGTTAGCCCTGGCAAAACTTTTTCCACTTCATTTGTGCATTAAAACTGCGCACACAGCAGGGCAGGAAGCTGGGCTGGCAACGGGTCGTATGCTTAATTAAATGGCACACACAAATATTTCGCAGTTTCCCATAGTCACTCAACACACAGTGGCAGGAAAGTCAGAAGTCAGGACGAGGCAGAGTCCTGCCCGAAAGTCCGCCTCCACTAACCGCACTCACGTACAGTGGCTGCCATAAATAGCGGCACTGGCTCTGTGTGCGAGTCAAACCAGTTGACAATTGCTGTTTGCCTTTGGTCTGGCCGGATTTTTACACTCCTTTCAATGCTGTCTCAATATTGATACAGATGGCAGAGGAAACAGAAAACAGAAAAAATTATGACAATATTATTTTATTGACTGCGAAAATATTTACACGCAACGCGTAGACCAGGAAGCAGAATCAGGGACGTGCGAATGATACCCGAGCCAAGGCGGCACGCGCAGGATTCACAGGATCCACAGGACACGAAGGACTCGAGCACGGACACGGACACTTGCCGTTTGCCAAACTGTCGCCTTATTGGTTATGGCCATAAAAGCGTTTAAGTGTTTGACCAGACCACCGAAGGGATTGGCCATCGAACTGCTGCGCTGACAGCAGCGCACTTGAGCTTTAAATTGATGGCAGTGGCGGGCTGATTTAAGGCTTAAGGGATGACCGGTCATGCATAATGAAAACAGAGCACTGGATATACAAATTTTAGATATTTTTTCAGCATATTTTCCCTGCTGCCGCCGCTGGCTGTCTGGGCAGGGAATTAGCAATGCTAAGGCCGGGGAAAAAAAACACCGTGCACACGCAGCGGCAACAGCTGCGGAACTCTTTTTTTCGGACTTGGCTGCTAGGAGAGCCATAGAGGTGGTGAGCTGACCATTAAGCCCCCAAAATCGGTCAATAAACAAACAAATGTTGGTGGACTATACAAACAGCGTGGAGGCGATGCATGTGTGAGAGCTGTAACAATAAACAACAAACTGAAACGGCGGGGAGTGAGACGAGTGTGGCGACAACAAAAGCAAAACACGGTCTGGCCACGCTTGATGTTTCAGCCGGACACGCGACATGGCCACGCCATGGTCTACACGCGGAAAAAAGTTTAAAAAATGTTGGTCAATCGATTCGTCATTTCTGCATATCAAGAACATGCTAAATGGGATGATTGTGGAACTTGTCTAAATAGTAATATTGTTTTCTTCCAATTTTGAATTACCAATTTAGGAATTAATTGTACTTTCCCATTTTAATTTTTCTCCCTGTGCTTCCAGGAACTAACTGTTACCGTTCAACTCCCTGGGGTCTCGTATACCTGGCATAAAATATTCCTAATAATAAAAAATCGAATAAATCAAGCGAAACTATTTATTAGCCGGCCAAAATTCGTACCAAAAGGGACCTAACTTCTAAGTCTGAGTTTCACCCACCACACGCACGCACCACTCAGCCACCCACCAACACACAGGCAATACGAGCCACTCAGTTCAAGTGGGTGGGCGGGGCGCCGCCTCCGCCGCCTCTCCACCCCCTACGCGCTGCACATGCCAAAGTGTTTTTATTACATTTACGTGAAAAATTTGTTGCATGTCCTGCTAAGCTCTTGTAACGGAAACGAGAGGCCGTGAGTGTGTGCGAGTGCGCCCATCGATGTATTGGTTTAGTGGCGCACGGATACGATTGAGCCGAGTGCGTGTGTTTATCTAAGGCTCGACCACAGGGGCACACAACACACAATGCTCATTGTTGCTTTTTGGATTTTTGCTATTTACTCGTCTGCTTTGTCTCTTTGTTGTGCTCTCTGTCACTCCTGCTGTCCTGCGGACCCTCCAACGTGTATTGGTGCTTGCAGTGCAATAAAAGTGTCCTTACACATTTATTTAGCAATTCCTTTTGTTATTATTTTCGGCATCATCGGCATCATGGCCCCTGCCTTTGTGTGCGCAGAGAGGGCTTTAAGTGGCGACCACAGGAATGAATTCATTGGGTTCCTGCCACCTTCCCAGCCCCCCCAAAATATCCTGCTTCCTTTAAGCGCGACTTTAATGGGGCAGGACAAAAAGCTGCCCAGTGTGTGTGTTTGCACAAGAACTTTGCGTGGAAAATTAAAATGGCCGCAGGTGGCAGGTGTCAAAAGAAGGGGAGTTGGGCGCTCCGCCACCAAAATGCCGTTGGGTCAAAGTAGTCGTCTGTGTCGCTCATCGAACAATGGCAAAAGGCAGAAAACGGAAAACAGAAGGGTGAAAGGTGAAAGGCGGCCCGCTAACTGCCTTTCTCTCTGTGCGTGTGTGCGGGTGTCCGCTTGTTGCTTTTTAATTAATAGAAAAGTCCTTTGTAAAGTAATAAATAAATATTATGCTTCCGCTTTTGCGTACATTTTTTCGCTCTCAGTCGATTGCCATTCACAGGCTTGCGATGCTTCCGATCCGCAACCCCCGTGTTTGTCCCTCGTCCACCCATCTGCTCCACAGTGACCTTTGACTGTCTGCCGGCTAATGCTCAAGCCTTCCCTTTGTGGCACACAAACACCCACTCACACTCATCATCGACGTGGCTGGCGGCGGTGAATGCTGTTAATTACGGCGAATTGCAAAGGCATTTTGAAAAATGCCACGAAAAGGATATCGACGCCCAGCACCTGCATATGGCGTTAATTAAATTCACCCCAAACAAAAGCAACACAATCGCCCCGGCGGAGCTGTCGATTACTTTTGAATTTCAGCGGAAATTGTTGCCTATTGATTTGTTTGCATTGGCAATCATTTTGTGGCTCACTGGATTTTTGTGGGCAGGTATTCGGCTTTCGGTTTTCGGTTTTCGGCTTTCAGATCCAGTTTCAGCTTTTGGCAGGGATCCTGCGAACCCGTCAAATATTTGCCTAATGTGTGGTTCATTCTGCTGGTTTCGCTTCAGTTTGGCTGTGTCGGGTTGGTGTGCGGTTTTTGATTAGCTTTATTACTTTGCGGCGGCATATGCAGGGTGGTTTTCATACCGCCAGGCAGAGTGTGTGTGTGTGGGCGGCTAATTAATGTGTCGACACAGTGCGTGGCTAGTCGGCGGACGCCGCTCATAATGCAAACGAACGCGAACCATTTTTCCCGCAATAATTTCCAGGCAGCACAAAAGGGCCAAGCCAAATGTTTTCGCTGTTGACTTGTTTTCCATGCTAATTAGTAGGTTAATTGGCTATAGGCATCAAAGCGCGCTTGCTTGGCCCTGCGCTTCAATTGGGGTACTCAAGTGGCCCGGCAACTTTGTGGCCAAGATGAAGGCTTAAGCCTAATGCTGCACCGGGAGAAAAAATAACCTAACGCTTAGGTAACATTTAAACAAATGAAAAAGCGTAACTAATGGGCAATTGAAGGATCGATGACGTGGCCAATTTTAACTTATATGTAGAACTTTGTTTCAAGGAGCATGTAGATTGTTAATTGTTAAATATTCAGAATCGCATGTTATGATCAACATTCGACCTTTGCTAACATCACTTGATCCTCGGATCTAAAAGTTACACGCCTTATACAATTGATTGTTAGTAATTAAGTAAAGCTACTTATGTTTGACAAGGTAAGGAACAGTCTTTTCTCTCCGTGTTGAGAACTGTCCCGGTGGGCGCGGTTAATTGGCAGACAAACCCAACTGGGCCCAAGACTATGGCTGCAAAATGCACTTAACTTGAGCGCCGCTCAGGGGACAGACGACGGAGGCATAAGGCAGGGCTTAAGCCAAGACAAAAGGCAACGCAAGGGCAAATGCAAAGGTAAAGGTAGATATAGAGCCGGACAGAGAGAGAGAGAGGGAGAGGATAGACAGAGATAGGTGGAAGAGTAGGGCAGAGAAGACTTACCAATTCCGCCGGCCAGCACGGTGCCCGGCTCCAGTTTGGCCTTCTTTGTGGCCAGGTCCTGATTGTTATTGTCGGAAGCGGGCGCCATGACTGCTGCTTGACTCAAAAGTTCGTCGCTTCCGCGCTGATTTACAGTTACACAGTTACAGAGGCACAGGCACAGGTGCGGATGTGGATGCGGGAGCAGATTCAGATTCAGTTTCAGATGCAGATGCAGATGCAGGAGCAGGTAGGCACAGGCACAGGCAGTTGGTTAATATATTTTACATTTTGTAGTTGATGCACAGGCGGCAGGGCAGGCACAGACAGAAGTTGAAGATGGTTTATTTTCAGTAGTAGTGGTGTGTAGTTGTAGTAGATGAAGTATATATATACGTATACGAGTACGGTACATAAAAAGAGAAAATAAAAGAGAGAGAGAACAATATAAATATTTGATGTTTACGCAAGTTAAATAAATTACAGCGATTCTTCAGCCCCACTTCGGCCCACTTTGCAGAGCATTTGCATAGCTCTCGGATTTTGTTTGGGTTCGGTATTCTGGTTCTCCCAGTTGGTTAAAGTCAACAAGAGAAGTGGTTAAGGGGAAATTATTGTGGCCAGCGGACTGCAGTTAATCATTATCCAGTGTTAGCTTAGCTATTTACTGACCAGAGCGACCAAAAGCAGTTCCCAGAGCCGCAGCTTCATCAAAATTAGATCCACTCGTTCCCAATTGGTTACCCCAAAACCGAAAAAAGCGGTTGTGCAAATAATTGCACAGCTCGGGGAAAATATTCATTTGAATTAGCCCGCTAAGCAGCTTGCGCATTGTGGCTCCTGTTCCTGCTTTCCGTTTGCTTTTTTCCTGCTTTATTGCAGCGCTAAACTCTAATTACAAAGCACATGAGTGTATTGTAATTACATGTGACACTTAATTACCGCACTCACACAAAGAGTCGAAGCCAAAACCAGAAGCGGAAGTTGAAGCACAAGTAGCAGCCATCGAAGCGAGCTTGCACTGGGGGAAACATTGTGGACTTGTCGAACATTCAAGTTGATCTTCACACCTTCTTATTATTATTTATTAATTTAAGACTTACAACTAACTTAAATGAAATCAAACAGAATAAATTTGTTGTTGCATACTCTTTGAATTTCTTTTATTTTTTTCCGATTGGGAGGGACTTATCCCCCATTCACTTTCTCCCTCATGTAATTATTCAGTTAGATATTTTAAATGTTTTTAGGCTCTTCAGCAATAAGGTCGATTTTCTTTGAGTGTGAAATCAGAATCGGTACCAGAGTCAGAGTCGGATTCCCAGAGAGCATCGAGAGTAACCGAGTTAAGCCAAACATTAAATGTAATGCGCCCCATAAAAATAAAGCTGCTACAGCTTCAGCTACTGCTGATGGTGACTGCGACTGTATTGTGCTAAGCAGAATGCGTGTGTTGGTGGCCGTGCCCCTGTGTGAGTGGGTGGCTGGGTGGTGGGCGTGGGGAGTGTGTTTGTTCAGTTTCTGCTGCTATGCATTAGCGGCAATGACAAAAAGTCAATAAACGGGAGCTGAACGATGGAAAGAGGGGAATTGCTGGGGGAGCACTCTGCACACCGCACAAATTGAAAAGGGTAATTTTGTGTGAAGTAGGCACCTTTATGCCCCCCATCTACATCTCCCACTCCCACTCCCATCCCATCATCAGCTATCAATGCTGACTACGCTTGAATTCGCCACTTGGCTTATCATGCTGCGCGCTTTCGCTTTGCTTTGCTTTTGGCTTATTTGCTTTTTGCCTGCTGGCTTCTGCTTTTGTTGGGCCTTATTTGTTATTTGCTATTTGTTGCTGGGGTTTTTATTTTTATGTGGCTGCACGTTTTATATACACATCCATAGCCGCACACATAAAGGAATTAGCTTAAATACAAAAACAACATGTGGTAATAGGAATAATAAGAAAAGCCAAAACGCACACACACACGTGTGTGGCAGGAAGGGAAAAAGAGAAAAGAGAGAGTGTGTGGTGTGCAATAGACAAAGACAGCGGCGAAAACCGCAAAAGCACTTCACTTGATAATATCACACACAAAAAACGACAGCGAAAAAAGAAAGCGGAAGCTCGCCGTCTGCCTGTGTGCGTGTCAGAGCCTTTGTGTGAGTATGAGTGTGACTGTGTGGGCTGAGTAATGATATCAGCAGAAGCCGCTCACTCTTGTTCTTGTTGTTGTTGTGCATTGTGTTCAACATATGTTTCGTAGCATGCTTTTCACTGCCCAAAAAAGCAGAAGCATACTTTTTTGGGTCTTCTTTTTCAGTGGACTTTATTAGGGTAATGCATATTGGTTTCCTTTCCGAGGGTGGTTCTCTGGACTTTTGTAGTGGGTAATTAAATTTTAAATGCCTTTCGCTCTCCACCACCCCGAAAGGACCCCGAAAAGGGTTGCCAACTAACTGCGCTTACTTAGTACGAGTCTCTAATGCATTCGTTATGCCACATTAACGCTCCCCAAGTGCCGGCTGCCTGGCATGCTATAGGGATTTGCCGGCTCTCAACGGGATATCCTTCGCCGTGTGTGATTGTATGAGTGCACAAGTGTGTGTTTGTTTGCCAGTGTGCATTACACGGTTCAGAAAGCCGGGCTAATGCCCTCCGCTGCCGCTTGGGTTCGGACTGTGCGACGATTTCCTTTTTGCCAAGCTGACCGGAAATGTTATTTTAATATGCTTTCTAAAAAGTATGCTAAATATTTGATTAGTAACTGTATGTATGTGCACCCTTTTCCCCGCCATGTGTGTGTGTGTGTGGCACATATGGCCAGGACGATAAGCTGCTGTCCACTTTCCTGAAGGGACCAGAGGAGCGGGAGCAGAAAGCAGGAACCCAAGTGGACCGTTTCATTGTTGTCTCGCCTCTGTGCCATTTTAATGAATTTTCCCAGCGCCACCGCCTCCTCCTCCGCCTCCATCTCCGCCCTTCGGATCTAGCATCCCCCTTCCCCTCCACTCTGTTCATAAGCAACGCCCCATTGCCGGAGGGCGTGGGCAGTTTTCTGGGCACTCACTGATTTCTATGATGACATGTGCCTTTTCAGCCCCTCCTTGTCTCCCTTTCAGCCTGTTTCCTTTGCTTCCGCCTTTGTTGCCGGGTAACTGGGTCAGCGCGCAATTGTTGCCTCTGAGGGTTGCTGCCCCTGCCTCCTCGTCGTTCGTGTTGTCGTTGTTCTTGTCCGAGGCAGCAGTGGAAAGATAATCACGCATATGCCTAACGGTTAAGTTTTTGAAGTGCGCCACGCTGACGGACACGGAGAAGCAGAAGGACATGGAGAAGGGAGCTCGAGACGGAAGCAAAGGGTGTCAGCGTCATCAGAAGCTGGCAAAAACCCTACATTCCCCTGTCCTTTATTGTTGCTGTAATGAGCAATTCATGAACTGAAAGAAATGAGGGGTAGCTTTGAGGAATTGGGAGATAATATCAACAATAAACTAAATTAATGAAAAGCGGAAACCAAAATATAATTAATTTCTAGGTTTTATAAAAATAACAGTTTTAATTTATATGATCTCGGCAAGGAAGTTAAATTACGCTTATGTAAAATTGCATATTTCAAAACTCCGTTTTCAAGTGAAACCTTTTGGTAATAGAGAAACCTTCAATCAGGAATTTAATCCCCGATTAAGGAGTACTTTTTCCCCCAAGTGTAGTGGTCTCTGCCATTGTCTCTTCCATATACGTCCATCCCTTGGACCCGTCCTTGCGTTGCTCTTCGGGGGTTGTTGTTGTTTAATTTCCCACAAGAGGCTCATATGCGATTTTCTACTCGAAGACGCTTTAAAAGGGAGCAAAGCTGAAAAGCTGAGCACACACAGATCATGTGTAATTGAGAGCGAGGCAAATGATATGCACACCATGTGATTATCCAGTCAAAAAGGGACTTTGGGTGTTATTACCGCTGCCAGGGCGGAAAAATGGGACCGGCTTAGAGGCTCAGAGTTGCCTGGACACGAGAAAAATAAAAGTGCCCAAATTAGAGGGCAGTCCTTCTTACATAATGAGCAGGTCTCTACGTCCATGACTTGTGATTTGCCCGCACTATCATAATTTTATTTGCCGCAAAATGGCCTCCAAGTGGGTGATTCAGCAGCCGTCTGCTCAACTTTAATTCCGCCACGAACCCAGTTGATAATAACTCTGCACTCAGTTGTGTGGGTGGTGAAAAGAAGGGGTAGTAAGAAAGGGGGGCCGTATCAACGCCCTCATTTATTGCACGGCCTCGGCCTGTGTTGTGTTCTCTGCTCTCTTTGTCATGAATTTATGACGACGGCATATGAATATTAAAATCGAATATGTTGCTGTCGATTAAAGGCTTTTCGTTTTGTCTGACTGTCTGTGGCGCACAGTTGCGGGTAAAATATTAGCAGTGGCATTGAAACTTAAGGAATTGTTTCATAGGCGCCAGTTGTGAGTTAAAGGCTTTAAATAATATTTAAACGGATAAATAGATAAATTTATAATATACATTTTGAAGGCTAAAAAATACTTTGGCTAGTCAGTGCTACCTTTTTGACCCCAACCGTAGGAGTGTGTGCTTCGCTCACGACACAGATACGACTCAATATTTCCGCTGGTGCACCGGATCGGTTCATTGATGTCGACTATCGACTCCCCTTTTGCCCCACCCACTGACATCATTGATGACGAGGATGATGATGCTGCTGACGGCGATGATGATGGCGTATGAAGAGATATAGGGGCGTGGGAGCCGCGGCGAATGCCAACCTAGGTGCAAAAAATTGCATATGTAGGTAAAAATAACAACAGCGGAAAACTGCAGCCATAACAAAGCGGCAATCTCCGGTTCACCTCCCGCACAACCCCCTTTTGAAATAACAATTATTGCTGCCGCTCATGCAGCAGCAGCAGTTGCAGCGCCATCTGGCGGAGTGGGGGAATTTTCCGATTCGAGGATGCCTTAAAGCCTTAAAGGCGTCTTTAAAGTGCCAGCCAGTGGCATCCAATAAATTCTAATTAGATGGCCAAATGAGACAAGCACTCAACCACCCATCCACTCCAACTCGAGCGCTATTTGTTAGCTAGTTGTCAGTTGATAAACGCAACTTGTAACTGCGGCCACATAGACACAGATA